CTTTCCTGCCTATGCAGGGGGTCAGACTCGATGATCTATTGAGGTCCCTTCTGACCCTAACGTCTATGAATCTATAAGGCTAAATTCTCTTTTATGAATAACGACTACAGGACCAATAGCCCAATATCTTTTGACTATTTCGACTATTTTTGCCTACTTTGTTGTATTTTTTTTTAACCTTTATATATACTCTAGCAAATTAGTGCACATTCCAACAGTTATTTTTATTTTTGCTTTGTTCTTAAACTAAATAGTATAGTGCTAGCTCCCTAGGGTATTAGTAACGCTTCTAATTTCTCTTTAACTGGAAAAAAATGAATTGTGTCATATGTGATGATGTGCCACACCATCTATGCTCCGCTTTTCAAAATCCTATATCCACCCATGAATACTGTTCTATGTTTGTCCTTTCACAGCATCTCATGAAATAATCTCAAGTTCAAGAATGCTTATGCTCTATATATGTATTTTATTTAGTTAGTCTATAAATCTACCCTGCCTTCTCCCAGAGAAGATATGCGCCATAGTTGCTTATTGTTAATAAGGAGTTAATCAAGTGAAATCTATCCCTCTGCAGAAAAGCATCACAGGATTTGTGACCTAATGACCTAAGTATCACTCTAAGTAGATCTTAAGTGGTATGTAGCCATTTTGTTGGCAATGCAGAACAGTGAATTTCAGCCACTGTGAAACAGATATACCTGACTTCTCAGTGGAATATGCACCACTGAAATGGTACATGTTTTTACGATCAAAGCACTACCCTTGGAGTCCACTCTGTTTTGCTAATCAGATATATTTATGTTTGGATCATGAATGAACAAACATTACTGAATATGATAAATATGATTTAGTTTGCCTTGATTTGAGAAAATGTGCATTCTGGGCTTTTTTTTTTTTTTTTTTAAATAACCAGACCATTTCAATTAAAGCAGTTTGGTAGTCGCTAATCAAGAATTCTGTTGTTTGGCAATAGATGGTATTAGCACTTTATGCAGCTAAACAAAGGCTATGCATTCTTACATATTTAAATAGCAGCCATAATACTGAGAAGCACTTTGTAATACATCTTTAGAAAGGTATAGTCTCTGCCCCAAACAATTGGTAGTATACATATATGCATATCTAATCATGCTATTGTGTGCATGTGTGTATTATCTATTTATCTAGATGCATATGAAATGATTTTGTAGATTTCCCCTTCGAACCATTTTGTATTTAAATTCCTAACTTGCATTCTGGCAGAACCTTGGAGTATTTATGAAAACACCTGTTAAATGTTGGTAAGAGAACTCCTTTGGAGCTGATCTGCAGCTGTGTTTTTTGTTTACAAAGCAGAGAAAATACAAGTTTTGGCTCATCATTTTCAGAAATGGCAGTTCTTAAAGGACTGAGATACCTGTCTCTGTCACAGAGCTTGCCAAGAAATATGTAGCAGTCACACACTGATAAATAGCTAGGTCTTGACTCATAGTTTTATTAGCTTATTAATGGCAACAATTCAAATAGGTATTATATTCCATTACAAATATGAAGCAGTTTACTTGTACTGAAATTCCTACTGACAGCTCTGTTTGCCAGCAGTCATTTCCTTTCTTATATGGATATTCAGGAAATTACAGGAAATAATGTTTTATTCTCTTAGCAATTTACTCCTTTTAAATGTATGAAAATAAGACTAAAACCTTAGTCCTCAGCCTGAGAAATAAATTAATATTCTTTTCCACCAGGAGCTATGTTGAAAAACAATTAAAATAACAGGCTATGTGATCTCATTTCTGGTTTTTCTTCACCATAGAAAATAAGAGGTGGGCAATAAGGAATTAAGACCATGCTCCTGCTGTTTAAGACAGTTACCATTTCTTGCTCCTGAGTTGTTGTTTGTTTGTTTGTTTAATTAGTAAAAACAGGTTTTGTGATCTATACATTTGAATCCCTTGCGCTTGAAAGGAGCTTTAAGTTGTGGAATGTAAATAAGTATAACTCAGGAAATCCAATCAGGGCTGTTCCAAGGAACACGTTTTGCATCAATGGAGTATTTAGAACAAGCCCAACAGGCTAAAAAATGTAACTGAAAATGTAGCCCATAACCATGTCTGTATGCTCTGGTTTTTTTGGCAGTGGTATTGTGGATATATGACTCATAAAATGCTTGTATTTCAGTTTCTCTCTGGGTCCCTGTTTCTGGCCTTTTGGCTGGATATTGTAATTTATTCACTATGGGACCAAATTCTTCCTTCCCATTCATTAACGTTGATGAAAGCTGCATGCGCAAGGATGAAGTCAGAATTTGGCTTCAGACATTGCCTATGCACCATGGATTTCTGTAATTTATACCACATCCTCTCTTCTATACTGAAAAGTGGTTTGGGACTCTATTTGTAATCAATATTAAGCAAAGTAAGGCCCTGATCCTGCAAGTAATTATATAGCATAGAGCACTACTGACTTTATTGGCATTCTTTGCAGGCTGAGGAGTTGAATGTGTTTGTCTGCAGGGTATAAGGTTTAAACAGTAGGCCCCCCCTGTACATGTTACATGTATTGCAATTCCCTCATTAATTATACAATTAATTTAGACTGTTAAGCATCACTCCTAAAAAAAGGTCCATCCAGTTATAAAGTTAGATCTGGAAAATGTGCAATAATTTTACAGCTGGTGTTTATTTAGCTTTAATTAGCACAGGTGGCCTGTGCCTAGTATATTTAATGTGGAATACAGTAGTTTATGACTTAGATTGTGCAGAGTTCTATATACTTTCTGTGGGATGTTGAGACCACAGTTCCTGAGAGCACCCACCACTTGATGTCAGTGGATAAACATTCAGTCAGAGGTATTCAGTAATTCACAGGATCTCAGGCCTTTGGAGCTCACTCCTGACTACTTTTTCAGAAAGAAGTCTTGTTGAATTCAACGAACTGTTTGCAGAAGAAACATTGCATTTTGTTTCAAAGTTATCTACACACTTAACTGATGCCAATTATTGAATGTAATTTATCATTTGATGTATCTGAAAAGTCTGAATTCTTGTGGATTTTTTTTCTTTCACAGGACAGAAGCATCCTCAAGCAACAGTGCTTAATATATTTTCTGATTACGATTACAACAGATCAGTCATAACGATAGCAGCTCCCATTGATATGTTGGGTAAGAGGATCCTTTACATTGTTTCAATATGTTTAAACTTCCAAACTCCTCTTCCTTTTTGTCCTAAGAGAATGACTTTGTACTTTGATTGGCTGGAAAAAGGGCTCATCTCAAGTTTTCTGCCCACTCTAACTACCAAGAGACTTCTTGAATATACTGGAAGTTTGAGTAAGTAATTTAACAAATTAAAAGGTGGAAATTCTATAAGTATAGCAATTACTAACCACGCACATTTAAAGAGGAGGGAAATTTTCCTAGGGATGGTGTAAAGTGTAACAGAAAATTGTTAAGGCAAAGGTTTTCAAAGAAACCAATGGGAGTTGGCTGTCCAACTCACCTTCCTGGCTTTATAAAATCTCCACTAAAGGACCTTATTCACTTGAATATAAGACGAGGTTTTCCTCCCCAATCAGCATGGGAGGGAAATGCTCCTTCTCTTATATTCGTATACAAGGAAACATCATTAAATAAATTGTCTAGCATTAAACTACTGCCAAATCAGCATTTGCTCTGTAAGAGAAACTAACTTGGAAGCTGATTAAATATAGCTAGCACTGAGCAAGACTATAAAACACATGGTCCATATGGGGCAAACATACTGATGGAAGTGTGTGTGTGTGTGTGTGTCCCTTTAAAAAAAGGGGGGGCAGTTGCTCCCCAGGAAGGAACAAGCACCAGGCCTGGAGATACAACCCCAACACCTTCCCCTTGATGCCAAAAATGTGCTACATTTCATCTTAGCCAAAAAGGCTGAAATGCTGACAGGAACCTACCACATTTTTTTTTTTAAGGAAAATTTTTTGTGTCCCAAGTCAAATCAGCCATATCAATTCCAAATCCATGAGTCCTTCAAGAACCCTATGTGGCCCTACTACCGGCAAGTATCTTCCACCCCCACCTGGGACGTCAGATGCTTCCAAATCCTTTGGCAGGCATCCTACGTGCAGGCCCAAACCCGGAGGCTTTGGGTTCGAATGCCCCCAAGTTTCGCTTGTGCTCAGCCATATGACCGCAGGAGCAAGCTAGGTAGGAGTCTTCCAGTTCCATAAAGTTGGCATGTAGCCAGGATCTTCCCACTGAAAGTGAAAGTGGGAGACTAAGTATGCTTTACCTCGGTCAAGGTTCTACCTCCTGCCAAGAAAGTGGTTTTCCCCTGCCAGTAAGAAAACCAACTTAGTGGTCATGGTATTTCCCTTGCCAGGTAAACTTTTTTTTTCCTAAGGAAAATTTTTCATGTCCCAAGTCAAATCAGCCACTGTCTTAACATTCTGGGATTATTAACAAAATAACTGTTTTTACTTGAGGTCAGAGTTAAGACTGCAATATTATATAACTGTTTTCCAAAGTTAACTGTTAACCAGTGTTAACACAGTACAACAGCCTTCTGAAAAAATAGAGAGAGAGTTATATATGTACACATTAATGACAAGTGTTGATAGATTTCTAAAGATAATCCTTACGCACTGAACTGAAAACAATGCAACTAGATATGGAATATTATTCTAAAATAAAAAAGCAACTGGTTTCCAAACAGTGTACTATGCCTTGATAAATACATTCAGTATTTCCCTTGTAACAGTTTCCTTTAAAAAGGAATGTTTAGGTATTCAAGTCAAAACAACAAAAATAAAAGAAAATAAAAAATTGTGGCTCAGAATTGAGGTTGTGAGGAAAAGTGGAATTAAGATGACTTATGTATTTCTTAATGTTTGCTCAGAATGTTTTCATTATATAGGCAGTGTGAGCTTTTTGCCTTTACCTATTAATTCCCCCTTAAAGCAGTTTCAGGTTTGTAAACAATGTGAAAAGTATCTTCCTGTCACATAGTAATCTTCCTCACTTGTTTTTGAAATGTGTTTTTTTCTGTTTGTGTCGGAATATGTTGGGGAAATAAAATAAGATTCCTTTTTTCTTTTGAATAGTCACTATACAGATGTCTGACATGCAAATGAAAACAGAATTGAAAAGAAAGAGACATGAGACTATCAAGAGCCAGAAAATATTAATATCTTAGCTTTCAATGCTGCAGTAAAATAAACTGTTACTGAATTTGGTCTGATACCAGAAACAGCAGAATAAAAATATTAATTGTCTTATGATGAGATTTTATTTCACTTCAAATGTTTTTTAGTACATTTCTTACTATAATATGCTTGCTTTGGGTAAGTACATTTCTAAGACTTACAAGACCTTGACATTTCTTCCAAACCTCTTGTCTATCATTAACTGGGGAAAAAAGCAAGCTATTAATGTGTAGAGTGAATTAGAAAGAGATTAACTGCTATACTTTAATCCTGGAGCAAGAAGCTGCTTATAATTTAAAGTTTGCAATCTTTTCTGTTTGTTTGCTTTTTAATTTGCTGCTTTAAATACAGTCCTTGTTTATGTGATCTTTAGAATAGAAGTGCTATTCTGACTAAGTCTTAGCTGTTTGTTCAGATTCAGTTAAACCATAATTGTCTCTGTTGTATGTCCTAGGTGACTATGTTGTTTCTGCCTGCATTGAGGCTTTCAAATCAATTGATCTGACTGTCCATGAAGGAATCCATCCTTGCCTTGGAGCAGTGGACTTAGTTCCAATTTACCCTCTTTTGGATGTAGACCTGGAGGAGTGTGGAACAGTGGCTCGAAGTAAGTGGAAGTTTTAAGATTTGCAAGAAGTGGAAATAACCTTATTCCCTAAACTGCATGTCTCGCTTTGTCTGAACTGGGGTTAAAAAGTACGTGTGTTATCTGCCCCTGGGCTGTGAAATGACCAGTTTAGTATATGTTAAAGGTAATGTGCTTTGTCTACAGTTGACTTAAAAAAATGTTACCAAATCTGTTAATATCAACACACAAAATCTTAGTCTGGAAAGACACCTGAGGCCCCAGTTCAGGAAAGCATCTTGACACATTTTAAATTAAACATGTTCTTATGAGCTTAGCTGGAAAGGGGCCTGAACTGAAATAGGATTGAGCATTTTTGGCCCTTACAGCCATGCAGCTCACTTTTAGACAGCAAACTGACAAACTCTTGGTACTAGATAGAAAGTTTCTGTCTTACAAATCCTTGTGGGATTCTGCTGGGTTCTTCCATCCTTTCTCAGTCTCAGTTTAATGACTATGTGGGCTAGTCTTGTGTTGTGCTGTGTCTAGTGCCTTGGCGCACCGTGTTTTCAAATTGATACCACATTGTTCCATTATATCTCTTTTCCTGGGTTGTAAATTCCATTCCATTGCATTGATGTTCTCATGCTGACATCATCATGAGCACGGTAGGAATAAGCACCATCCTACTATTGCCGTAGAATTGGTGTATGACCAGTTAAAAAAATTAGACGTATAGAAGTCAGCGGGACCAGATGATCTTTATCTGCGAGTGCTGAAGGAGCTGGCCAAAGTAATTGCGGAACCCCTGGCAAAACTCTTCCACAACTTGTGGCGCTCTGGAGAAGTCCCTGAGGACTGGAAGAGGACCAATGTTGTGCCCATCCACAACAATGGCAGGAGGGAGGACCCAGGTAACTATAGGCCAGTCAGCCTAACTTTCATCCTAGGGAAAATCCTAGAAAAGTTCATAGATTCATAGATGTTAGGGTCGGAAGGGACCTCAATAGATCATCGAGTC